ATATATATAAAAAGCCCAAGGGCTAATATATTAAAAAGAAAGGTACAAATAGGTTTGTATGGGTGGGCCTAAACACCCAACCCACACGGTACAACACAAAAAAAAATGTAAAAGATGGGTATATATAAAAATAAAAAAAACCCAAAAATCACCTGGGAGCTGAAAATGTGTGGGTCATCCCAATCTAGTCTTGCCTCTGGCTCTAGTTCTCGGAAAAGATCCAGCTAAGAGATTGGTAAGGTGCTAACCATTACCCGTAGTAACCAAAGTATCATCCATAAGACTCCTGAGCTCTAGTAAATCTCAATTCTTCTTCTTCCTCCTGAAAGTGTAAACCTGTCATTCCTCCTTTGAACAATCAGCCTGATGGGGTAGAGCTGAAGCAGAAGGAATAGCAACAGTAGTACCCATAATAGATTTTAAAATATGTGGAGCATGAGTTTCCTCTACACCGAATACTTCTTGAAGAGTGGAGCTGCAAGGCTCTCTTGATTATCAGTCTGAACACTATCATTTATAGACAATAGTCCATCAATATTGTTTTCTATGGAGTTTGTAGGTGCCAGCACCGCATCACTCGCATTAACAGTAACAACAGTGTCAGGGGGGTGTCCTCAGGGGCAGCAGATACCTCTTGTCTGGTAGTATCCTCCTCAAGTGGAACTAAAATGTCCACAGCGGTGGGGTTAGACTCATCCTTATTCACTTGAACTTTAGATTTCAAATTAGGATGAAGCTTGTGACATTTAACAAGGATATGACAAGGATATGACCAAACAATATGACCAAACATCTTACAGTGGGTACAATACGGGGGTTTGTGTTCTACGACGATTTGTTGTCAATAACCATTATGGGTTGTGCCCAGCCAAACTTCAGTAACATCAGGTAAATTAATATCCCTTTCCATTAATATCCCTTTCCACAATATCCCTTTCCACAAGTATTCTGGCCACAGAGGGTCTGGTTGAGTTGAAAGTAGGCAACTCTAGTTTCAAAGGATCCCCAAGAATGACCCCAATAGAGTAGAGAATCTGATGGTGAAAAAGATACAGCTTGAAACCAGATAAACTAAACCATACCAGTACAGTGGGAGTTTCATGCTTTGGGTCGAAATTAGGAGACCACTTTAGTAACTTCATTGATTAGCCTTTGATATTAAGATATTTCTTGGAGAAAATTCTGGTGTAGTCTTCAGCCACTATTAGTTAGATCAACACATGTCTCCCATCCATGAGTCTCATTTTTCACTCGCCTACTAGCATAAGATCATCAACACTCTTT